TAATATGCTAAGTATATGGTCATCCATTCAACCAATCAAAGTTTAATGCTAAAGCTGTTCACCTGCTCACTCTGATATGCACTGACCACCAGGGGGCAGATGCTCTGGTAGGTTAGCTTGCTGCTGGGGTCTGGCCTATTGAGACTGAGCGAGATGGACTGGACATATCCTGTAGCCCTCCTACGGTCCCTCCCCAGCCCCAACTGTGCACCTGTGGGGTCCCTCGGCCTGGCCTGAGTCCTCTTTCAATTCGGAACCCCGAGGGATGTTGGAGAGCTGGTTTTAGCCTGGTTCTGCAGGGTAGGCTGAGGGATCCCACTGTGCATGAATTTGTGCACTGGGCCTCTAGTTTGAGTATAATGGTTTGGGTCCATTTCTGGGTTCTCTGTTCTGTTCCATTGGTCTGTATATCTGTTCTTGTGCCAGTACCAGGCAGTTTTGAGGACAGTGGCTTTGTAATATAGCTTGATATCTGGTATTGTGATCCCTCTAACTTTGGTCTTCTTTCTCAGGATTGCTGCAGCTATTTGGGATCTGGTGCCTGAATTTCTAGCTGTCTCTCTCTGGGAGACAGTAATCCTGCTGCTTTTCACAGCCAGATGTCATGTGGGGAATTTTCTCAGTTCTGGTGCTCTCTGCTGGGGGCCTACCTTGGGGGTTACAAGCCAGAGTTCTCAGTGGCAACCCTTTACGGCTGAGATGTCCCTCTGGGACTTGAGTTGCTCTCTGTGGGAGCCCAGCCAGCCCTTTCACACCTCTGCCCCTCCTACCAGTTTCTATGTGTTTCCTCTTACAGTCCTTGGTATCAGGGTTCTCTCCAGCTAGCTTTCATTTGGTTGTTCAGGATGCTTTTTGTTCTTGTTGTATTTTAATTGTAATTCTAGTTTGATTCTGAGATGGTGTCTGTGTAGCATCCACTTACTCTACTGTCATTTTTAATGCTCCTTGGGGTTTATTCTTGACCACACAGCTAACAACCTGAGACCATTTGTTCTTACTTTATTTTTTAATTCTTTATTGTTTAAAGTATTACATAAGTCTCCTTTTCCCCCCATTGACCTCTCCTAGCTGCCCCCACCCCCCAGCACATGCCCTTACCCCCTACTGTCTGTGTCCATTGGTTATGCTCATATGCATGCATCCAAGTCCTTTGGTTCATCTCTTACCCCCTTACCCCCTGCCTTCCCTCATAGGTTAGACAGTCTGTTTGATTGTAGCCAATTTTCCCAACACCTTTTATCTTGTCTCCAAACTCAATTTGATGCTAACCAGAATTTAGTGTCCTAAGGGCTTAACGATTAAGAAATGCAGTGAATGAACAGAAAGGATATATATATATAATACAGGCCTGGTGCACGAAATTCATGCATGGAGGCGGGGGGGGGGGGGGGGGGGGTGTCCCTCAGCCCAGCCTGCACCTTCTCCAATCTGGGACCCCTTGAGGGATGGATGTCTGACTGCCCTCTCACAATCCAGGACGGCTGGCTCCCAACTGCTTGCCTGCCTGCCTTCCTGATTGCCCCAACAACTTCTGCCTGCCAGCCTGAATACTCCCTAACCACTTTCATGCCAGCCTGATTGATTTCTAACTGCTCCCCTGCCAGCCTGTTTGCCCCCAACTTCCCTCCTCTGCTGGCCTGGTCACCCCTAACTGCCCTCCCTTGCAGGCCTGCCCTCCCAAATGCCCTCTCCTGCTAGCCATCTTGTGGTGGTCATCTTGTGTCCACATGGGGGCAGCCATCTTTGACCACATGGGGGCAGTCATCTTGTATGTTGGAGTGATGGTCAATCTGCATATTACTCTTTTATTAGGTAGGATAGAGGCCTGGTGCATGGGTAGGGACTGGCTGGTTTGAAGATAAGCAGGTGCAGGTGGAAAACGGCCTGTATTTTCCCTGGTGGAGCCACAGAGGAGTGCTGTAAGGGAGTGGTTCTGAAGGAAGCACCAATCTGGTGGGAGGGCAGGTTACAGAGTGTGTACATAGTCATCTTTGGTCTGGAGTTCTCGTAATTGCTATAGATTGTTCTAGATTCCATAAATTCATGACTTATTTAATCCTCACACCTAAGAGAAGGTGTTGTTACTATCCCGATTTCCAGATGAGGAAAGGGGGCACTGAGGCTGGCTGCTCGCTGCAGGTCCCAGCTGAGAGTGCAGTGCCACCCAGGTAGATGGGCTCCGAGCCTGGATTCTGAAGACCACCACCTTCATCAAGGTTACGGAAACACTGTCCACGTGGGATGAGCCAACTCTGCACCTTGACCTCACTCACAGGCAGGCCTCCGTTCAGAGGACCATGCTTTCATGGCCCCAGCTCTCTGTGCGCTCTGCTCAGCCCAGCTTCAGACTCGGAACTGAAAGTGGGTCAAAGGATGGAAATTGAGAAGGGCTGGCCTGAGGGGAACTGGAAGTATTTGCTATGATGGGAAAGTCCCTGCCTTTACCCTCCATGGTGACAGGAAAGGGGTCAGACCCTGGGTGTCAGAGGGTAGAGAGGGAATGTGGGAGTACAGACAGGGACCTAAAGCCAAAGCAGCTTCTTAAGAAAGTGCTTCAGTTTGCAGTGCTTAAACATGGATGGAGAGAAACCAAGATGGTGGCGTAGGTAAACAACTAAACTGTCGCCTCGCACAACAATTTCAAAACTACAACTAAAAGACAAAATGTCTATCACCCAGAACCACGGGAAAGCTGGCTGAATGGAAGTCCTACAACTAGAAGGAAAGAGAAAGGAGCACAAACGCTGAAAAGCTGAGGGACGGAGGCACACAAATCAGGCAGGCGGTGGGCGACTGGGTGTGTGGCTTTTTTTCAACCCGAAGTGATACAAGCACCCAATCACTTTGAAATCCAGTTTCTGAGGAGACTTGGGGGACCCAGAAGCCTACAGGGCGAAAAGTGAGGGTGACTTTTTTGCAGAGGTTCATGCAGCAATCATTGTTTACTGCGCTGGAATGTGGGGACAGGGGGACTTGGAAACTCGGAAAGGCAGAGAAGGCTGATGGCAGCCATTGCTGTTTGCCAAGTCTCAGCCTAGTGATGCCCTGAGTCCCTGCCCTACACAATCTACAAACCCTCCTAGGCTCTACACTAGGGGTGTCGAACTCAATCAGAGAAGGGGCCAAAATCTAAAATCCAGCCTAAATCTCGGGCCGAATGGTTTACTGAACAGTCATAAACTGTCATTGTGATGGAAACACAGTGGAGTGCAGTGATGACAGCGCGGTGCGGGCCACATTGCAAGGCCTGGCGGGACGGATTTGGCCCGTGGACCTTGTGTTTGACACTTGTGCTCTACACAATGGCTTTTGCATATAAATGGCCTGCACTGTGGCAGCTTAACAAAATAAATTGAAGCTCCAGTCAGACTGCTCCAAAACTGCCAAATCCCAAGCAAAGAGAAGAAAACTGTAGTTCTTGCTGTAGCTCCTGCTTGGTGGCCTCAGACAGTAGCTGACTTACACCCCATTGGAGATTCAGAAACTAGTGTATCTAGTGGTCTGTGTGAGACGACACCAGATTTCAACTACTGTCATAAGGGACACATTCAAGAGGCAGACTCAGTGAGCACCAAAGCCCCACTGGAACAAGTCCTGCCCCATAAACGTGTCTCCTCCACAGCAATTCTTCCATTATAGACACAGCGGATGCTCACAGCCAATTGGCCTGGAGGTAAATTCCTCCCAGTGACAGCAGCAACACTCAAGACTTAACTACAACAAGGCTGTACACACAGGCCACAAAGGGGTGCACCAAGAGTGTCCACATCAGGCAACTGGGAGGCTGACCCATTAAACCATATACGACACCCAGCACACAAAGCTACCCTACCAATGCAGGGATACAGCAAAAATGAGGAGCCAAGGAAACAGATCACAGATGAAAGAAATGGAGGAGAACAAATGACTGGACATAGAGTTCAAAACCACGGTTATAGGGTTTTTCAAGAATTCTGTAGAAAAGGATGATAAATTTAATGAGACCCTCAAGGATATGAAAAAGGACCAACTAGAAATTAAACATACACTGACTGAATTAAAAAATATTATACAGAGACCCAACAGCAGATTAGAGGAGTGCAAGAATCAAGTCAAAGATTTGGAATACAAAGAGGCAAAGGACACTCCTCTGGAGACAGTAAGAAGAGAAGAGAATCCAGAAAGTTGAAGATAGTGTAAGAAGCCTCTGGGACAACTTCAAGCATACCAACATCAGAATTATGGGGGTGCCAGAAGAAGAGAGAGAGCAAGACACTGAAAACCTATTTGAAGAGATAATGACTGAAAACTTCCCCCACCTGGTGTAAGTCTATTTGATTTACAAGTCCAAGAAGCGCACAGAACTCCAAACAAAAGGAATCCAAAGAGGATCACACCAAGACACATCATAATTAAAATGCCAAGAGCAAAAGACAAAGAGATAATCTTACAAGCAGCAAGAGAAAAAGGGAGCACCAATATAATTATCAGCTAACTTCTCAAGAGAAACTATGCAGGCCAGACAGGAGTGGCAAGAAATATTCAAAGTGATGAATAGCAAGAACTACAACCAAGATTACTCTATCCAGCAAAGCTATCATTCAGAATTGAACGGCAGATAGAGCTTCACAGATCAGAAAAAGCTAAAGGAGTTCATAACCACCATACCAGTATTATATGAAATGCTAAAAGGTATTCTTTAAAAAGAGGAAAAAGAAGAAAAAAGTAAAGATATCTATCAACAAGTGAATCTAAAAGTTAAGTGAATTAAAAATCCGAGGAACAGAATAACTGGTGAATATAATAGAATCAGGGGCATAGAATGGGAGGGGACTGATAATTCTCTGGGGGAAAGAGGTGTCTGTGTGGGGGGTATGGGAAGAGACTGGACAAAAATCATACACCTATGGATTAAGACAGAGGGTGGGGAGGGGGGAGTTAAGGGCAGAGGGAGGAGTGGGGATGAGGTGGAGGGGAGCTATGGGGGGGAGGAGAAACAATAAATCTGAACAATAAAGATTTATTAAATTTTAAAAACAAACAAACGTGGATGTGAACTTGCAAAGAACGCCCAGGCCTAGTCCGGTTTTCTAGCACCAACCCTCCCCCACCCCCTGCCTCCCGCTCACCAAGGGCCCCACCTCTCAGCCACGCTCTCCCCTCCACCCCGCAGTGCGTTGGAATGGGACACCCAGGACAAAGCGGTGTGGCCCCCATGCAGGTCTCCATGTGGCCAGTGCGATGAAGAGAGCTGGGCCAGTCCTTGGCTCTGCCTTCGCAGGAAGCTGCTGGGCTGGGGAGAGGGAAGGACAAGATGGTGAGGCTGGCGTGAGTCACTGCACCCGGCCCGCTTGAAGCAATCTTGGCCAGTTCAATTGGTGGGAACTGTCAGCTGTGTGAAGGGCTGTGGCTTTCTCAGCAGCCTCGTTAGCTCTCAGTCAACCAGAAAGCCTCCAGGTGAGGAAACTGTGGCCAGACCAGCGGCAGCCGCGCACTCCCGTCCCCCTGACTGGTGACCGTGGGCCTGTGCACAGAGGCTGCAGACAGCGCCTGGCCACGGCCTGTGGGGATGCTGGGGACAGCTTTCACCTTCCTAGTCCTGTTCCTGCATGGACGGCACAGCCAAGGTGAGGAGGCCCCCTCTGCATTGGTGTGTGTGTGTGTGTGTGTGTGTGTGTGTGTGTGTGTGCATGGACTAGGGGCCAGGCCCACGGGCGTCAGGTCCTGGCCCCTCTGGGTGGTGGGGCTCCCCATGGCCATTTGGAATTGGCTGAGCACCTGCCGGGGACAGGCTGCCGGAGGGCGGTGGACCCGGAGCACAGCCTCGGACTTGGTTACCTGTGTGGTGGGAGGGGTCTTGCCTGGCCGTAAGGAGGCCAGGAAATGGCCTCTACCTGGATGCTAGTGGCTGCGGAAAGGAAAGGGCCCTGGGCTGGGGTTTCCACCAGCAGGTGGTGGTTCTGGAGTCCAGAGACCACACATCGTCCCAGAGGCAGGAGGGACGGCTGTCCTCTGCTTGGTGGCCTGGCCCTCTGGCAGCACCAAAGCCACAGGCGCCTGTGGCGGGGAGGGGGAAGGTGAGGCCACTGGGAGCTCAGAGACTCCGCCCAGAAGCCTGGGAGACTTGGAGGGCATTGTGGCGGGTACTGAGGGCACCCTGGGCATGAAGCGAGGGCACAGGCCCATGAGTGTTTGTCCAGGGCCCATGAGAAGGCTGAGCTCGGGCTGAGTGGGCAGGAGCCTGGCTTTGGGGATGAGAGTGGCAGAAGGTCGAGGGTGAGATGAGACGATGAGGCTGTGATGGGGTAAGCTCTCCCTCAGCGGCCGGCTCTGCTGGCAGCTCTGCAGCCCTGGCGGGCGGCGCTGGGTGCGGAGCACGGGCTCCGGCTAAGGAAACCCTGGCAGGGTCCTGTGGGGCGGGCCTGGTGGAGGCAGACAGAAACCACTCTTTTTTTTTTTAAATATATTTTATTGATTTTTTTTTTTTTTTACAGAGAGGAAGAGAGAGAGAGAGATAGAGTTAGAAACATCGATGAGAGAGAATCATTGATCAGATGCCTCTTGCACACCCCCTACTGGGGATGTGCCCACAACCAAGGTACATGCCCTTGACCGGAATCGAACCTGGGACCTTTTGGTCCACAGGCCGACGCTCTATCTACTGAGCTAAACCAGTTTCGGCAGAAACCACTCTTTTTAAAAATATATTTTATTGATTTTTCACAGAGAGGAAGGGAGAGGGATAGAGAGGTAGAAACATCGATGAGAGAGAAACATCAGTCAGCTGCTTCCTGCACACCCCCCACTGGTGATGTGCCCACAACCAAGGTACATGCCCTTGATGGGAATCAAACCTTCAGTTGGCAGGCCAATGTTCTATCCACTGACCCAAACCGGTCAGGGCAGAAACCACTCTTGTTTTAATTTTTAAATAGTTTGAAAAAATTTTGGAGCTCCAGAGCAATTGTAAGAAAATGCTTGTATTTCTTCACCTACCCTGTTTCCCCGAAAATAAGACAGTGTCTTATATTAATTTTTGCTCCCAAAGATGCGCTAGGTCTTATTTTCAGGGGATGTCTTATTTTTCCATGAAGAAGAATACGGTACACATTTATTGTTAAGTGAAAATAAAGGAAATTTATTACCTGGATATGGTACGGTAGTACGGTAGTTGTCAACACAAACCAGACAAACTGTGAATCCTACAGTATCAAGAATTTACTCATTTATTCAATGACAATCATGTCATCATCTTCTGGAACATCATCATAACAATCCAATTCCTGAATTTCCTGGTGAATTTCCTGTGACTCCATTTCTTTCAGAATCAGTGGACCAAATCTCTCATGTTTAGCAATAGCACTGTCTTTAAATGAGTACTTCTTGTCAAGGTAGCCTGCTCACAGTGCATTTGCAATGCAACTGTCAGTGATTTTATCCCATGAATTCTTTACCCAAGTCACAACTTCTTACAGTTTAGGTTTCACAAAGCTTCTGAGACAGAGCCTAGGGGGACCTTATTTTTGGGGGGATGCCTCATATTTCACTCAGAAGGAAACCTGTAAGTATGTCTTATTTTTGGAGGATGTTTTATTTTTGGGGAAACACGGTAGATTCACCAGTTAACATCTAATCGCCTTCGCTTCATTCCTTTTCTCTCCACTGCGCGTGTGCGTGCACTGGGAAGTGGATGCTGATGATGGCTGGTTGAGCCATCTGAGAGTAAAGCCTCTTTACTCCTAAATATGTTGGCACGTATCTTTTAGGGACAGGAATATTTCCTTATCATATGACTTCATCATATCATCACATTTAGAAAACCTAATGCTACGCCGTGGAGTAGAGGGGCCACTTGTGAAGGTGCCGCCAGCCAGCAGCCAGCAGCCGAGGGCACGCGGGCCGCACCAGGCGGACTGTCCCTCTGCCGGCCTCCGCGCCCTGCTCCTTCCTGCAGGACGTTTGTGGCGACAGCCACAGCCCCTCTTCCGGGTTTGTCAGGTGTTTCCTGTGATTCAGAGGAGCTCTTTGGCCAGGATGCCCAACAAGTGCTGTCTGTTTTCAGACCTCACCGAGGATGACGCTTTTCCGCTGATGTTTTTAGGGGGGTGGAGGGGAGGGGGTGGAGGGAGGGAGGGGATGTGAGAGGAACACCTTGGTTGGCCAGAGGACTAGTGATTGAACCTGCAACCTGGTATGAGCCCCCACCCAGAATGGAGCCGGCCACCGCGGGTGCTCAGGCCAGCGCTGCACCCACCCAGCGCCGGCCAGGACCTCGCGTTGGTTGGGTTCATTCGTCCCTTCAGGGGGCATGATGGCAGTGAGATGTTTTCTTAAAAACGTGGGTTCCTGCACAATTCAGTGACCGTGGAGGCCCTCACCCCTCCAGCTGCGCAGCCGCCCCAGGGGCTTGATGAGCCTGAGGAAGCACCTGGGTCTGGGCCCCGCCCCCTGCCCGCCGGCCCCCGCCCCCTGCCCGCAGGCCCCGCCCCCTGTGGCTCCCACCCTCAGCCTGCCCACCCGCCCCTCCCTCTGCTGGTTCCCAAACCACGAACCCACTTCCTCAGAGATGTCTTCTTCCTCCTGAAATGGCAGCCACATAGGCCAAGCCTGCTGGGCTCCTCCGCACTGCCCCCCATTCCACATGTCCCACAGCTTATCCTCTGCGGCCGATCTGTCCCTTCTTGCCTGTCCGCTCTGGTCTGTCCTCTCGCTGCAGTCTCCTCACAGGCAGACTAGCACCTGGCCAGCGAGTTTTCTGTTTCTGTGGCCCTGAGGGTGGGGACGCGCCCCTGGGTTCCTCCCATGTGCAGTGAGGACACATGTTCCTCGCATGTGCAGTGAGGACACATGATCCTCGCATGTGCAGTGAGGACACATGTTCCTCCCATGTGCAGTGAGGACACATGTTCCTCATATGTACACTGAGGGCACGTGTTCCTCGCATGTGCAGTGATCACACGTTTCCCTCCCATGTGCAGCGAGGATGCGTATTCATTTCTGAGCTCTGCGCTCTCGTGGCTCCTGGAGTTGAGTAAACTCTGCTAAGCTGCTCAGCCTCCCAGCTGCTTTTTATGGAAACAGACGCCTCCAGTAACAACAGTAAAACCGCTAGCCCTCTCAATTTCCTTCTCTCAGGTCCTGGCCCTTAATATTTCACCGTTTTTTGGCCCTAGCTGGTTGGGCTGAGTGGATCGAGCATTGACCTGCAGACTGAGGGTCCTGGGTTCGATTCCAGTCAAGTGCACATGCCCGGGTTTCGGGCTTGATGCCCAGGTTGGATATGCAGGAGGCAGCCAATCAATGTTTCTCATCATTGATGTTTCTATCTCTCTCTCTCCCTTTCTCTCTGAAATCAATAAAAGAAATATATATATTTTTTAAATAAAGAAAGTTAGGTCAGAGTGTGTCTTACATCTTAAAACAAAAACAAAACAAACAAACAAAAAGCTTTCTTATAAAATTCCCCTCACCATTTCATTAGCTCTCTGATGCCTTCAACAAATGTCCTTATATTTTGCCCATTTTTCTTCTTATTCTTAGTGGGAGTGTTGGTTAGCATGTCTCTACCTGGTCTTCTGTGATCAGATTAAAACTCCTTGGGTGGCCCCTTATCTCAGGCACTAGCGTGTGCTGTGGGACCAGGTCATCCTGGTCCCAGATGCCGGATTCCGGGGCCAGGACCCGTGCTGACACAGGAAGAGGTCCGGGCTCCTCAGGGCTCTGGGACAGTGGGAACAGTGCAGACGGAACACCCAACCCTTTCTAGAAGCTTATTCATGACTGTCCATTCCCAAGGGGCCTGTGTGCAGGGCTGGGCGTGCTGCCCGCTCTTAGGTGTAAAGGGTCTGAGGGCCACGGAGACGGCCAGGCAGGCCCAGGCTGCTCCCAGTGTGGTGACAGGCAGATTCCCTTCGTGTGCATCAACCTCAGGGTCACCACCAAAGGAACAGATTCTATTGACCTCTTGTCTCTATAGCCTCATTTAACAGATCTGTTCCTACCGATAGCCGTCTCCTAACCTCTCCTCCAAAACTCTGACCCCCTCCAGCCCACCCAGGCAGGCTGGCTTTCCTGCCTCATTGGCGATGTGAGAACTCTCCTGCCCACACGGCCACGGGGACGGCCCTGCTCTTCCCCACTGGCTGCTCTGTGAGGCGGGGGCACCCTCCTGTGCAACAGGTCCCACCCTGAACCGGGCAGGAGCTGGAGGTGCCCGGGCAGGAGCTGGGGGTTCCCGGGCAGGAGCTGGGGGTGCCCTGTCAGGAGCTGGGGGTTCCCGGGCAGGAGCTGGGGGTGCCCCGTCAGGAGCTGGGGGTGCCCGGGCAGGAGCTGGGAGGTGCCCAGGCAGAAGCTGGGAGGTGCCCCGTCAGGAGCTGGGGGTGCCCGGGCAGTGTATTTTTATTCTTGCCTTTCCATTTTTTTCCTACTGAGTAATACTTGTGGAGACCTTCCAGTGACTGAAAACCTGGCAAATAGGAATCAAGAAGGACCAGTTTGTTGCACCAACTTCTCCGGGGGGGAGAGAGGGAGGGGGTAGGAGCCCAGCTCTGTGGGAGGGCAAGGAGGGCGCTGGGAAATCGGTGTGGAGTTCGTCTTTCTTGGTCTGACTATTCAGAATGTGGTGTAATGGTCACCACTGGTCACCCATGGTCCCCCTGCAGGGGCCGTCACATCAGATAGAATGTTTATTTAGAGCACATGTGTCAAACACAAGGCCCGCAGGCCAAATCCGTCCCCCCAGGCCTTGCAATGTGGCCCCCACCGCACTGTCATCACTGCACTCCGCTGCGTTTCCATCACAATGACAGTTTATGACTGTTCAGTAAACCATTCGGCCCTCGATTTAGGCTGGATTTTAGATTTTGGCCCCTTCTCTGATTGAGTTCGACACCCCTAATTTAGAGCATTGTAGTTAAGAATTCACCCTCCAGCCCAAGCTGGTTTGGCTCAGTGGATAGAGTGTTGGCCTGCAGAAGGGTGCCAGGATTGATTCCAGATTATGGGCTCAATCCCCAGTAGGGGGAATGCAAGAGGCAGCCAATCAATGATTCTCTGTCATCACTGATGTTTCTATTTCTCTTTCTCTCTCCCTCTCCCTTCCTCTCTGAAATCAATAAAAAACAACAACTATCTAATAAAATAGTAATATACAAACTAACAACCACTTTACAACACCCACAAGCCACGCCCACCAGCCAATCAGAGCGAGTATGCAAATTAACCCAACCAAGATGGCTGCGGCCACAGAGAGTAGGAGGGAGGCTTGGGTTTCCCAGGCAATGGAGGAAGCCAAGCTTTCCACCTGCCCTAGCTGGCCTAGGCCTCGACTAAAGGCTACAAAGTTTCAATTATAGAAGGTAAGGAAATCCAAACAGAAATGTAGGCAGCCACAGAGCAAGTAAGGAGGCTTGGCTCTACTCCAGGCTACAAAGTTTCAATTGTAGAAGATAAATAAACCCCAGATACCAGGGCTTCTGCTTCAGTTGCCACGGGGCGTGGCTGGCCTCCAAACCACCACAGGGCCCTTGCTCAGGCTGCCTCACACTCCAAGGAACCAACATCTTGATCCGGGACACCCTTCAGGGGAACCAGCCGGCCTCCACCCATGCACCAGGCCTCTATCCTATCTAATAAAAAATTAATATGCAGATTGACCATCACTCCAACACACAAGAAGGCTTCCCCCATGTGGTCAAAGATGGCTGCCCTCATATGGACACAAGATGGTCACCATAAGATGGCCAGCAGGGGAGGGCAGTTGGGAGGCACCAGGCTTGCAAGGGAGGGCAGTTGGGAGGACCAGTCCTGCCAGGAAGGACAGTTGGAGGTGATCAACCCTGCAGGGAGGGCAGTTAGGGGTGACCTGGCTGGCAGAGGAGCAGTTAGACATCAATCAGGCTTGCAGGCAGAGGCAGTTAGGGGCAATCAGGAAGGCAGGCAGGTGAGCAGTTGGAAGCCAGCATCTGGATTGTGAGAGGGATGTCCGACTGCCCATGGGATCAGGCCTAAACGGGCAGTCAGACATCCCTCGAGGGGTCCCAGATGGGAGAGGGTGCAGGCCGATCTGAGGAACACCCCTCCCCCGGCCCCGGGCACAAATTTCATGCACCGGGCCTCTAGTCTATAATAATAAAAGCGTAATGTGCTCATTAGACCAGACTACCTTCCAGAGGAAGCTGGGCTGTGAGGAAAGCCTGGGTCCCGGTGCCAGAGGGAAGCTGGTGCCGGCAGCGGGGAAGGAAGGCCTAGTCTTGCACAGATTGTGCTTCAGGCCTCTAGTAAATAAATAAGAGAATTCAGCCCTCGCTGGTTTGGCTCAGTGGATAGAGGACCCACGTTCGATTCTGGTCAAGGGCACATGCCTGCCTGGGTTGCAGGCTCCATCGCCAGTAGGAGGTGGACAGAAGGCAGATGATCAATGATTCTCTCTCATCACTGATGTTGCTATCTCTCCGTTCCTCTCTGAAATCAATGAAAATATATTAAAATTCACCTTCTAAAGGCAAATTGACTGTTGCAGGCTCATCTTTCTCACTGATAATTAGGGTTGTGACTTTAAGTTCTTTCTAAGTCTGTTTCCTCGCTTGTCAGATGGGGCCGCTGCGCAGTGAAAGGTTCACAGCTGCAGAGCCTTTCCACCTGCTGGCGTGCTGAGCTCAGGGCTCCCTCTCCTCTGGGCGGGCAGAGGGGCCAGTGAGCAGGTGGGCGCTCAGGCTCAGGCTCAGGGAAGTCAGGCCGCTGCCCCCTTGCTGAGGCCCGGCTCCGCTCTGTCGCAGCCGCTGCCTCTTGCCCGGGAGCCTGGCCAACGGGTGAAGCTGTGGTGAGGCGCTCTGGCACGTCATTCCACTTGGGGCCCAGCGACACCCCGACAGCAGTGAGCTCCTTGGAATGGAAGGCACAGCTGTGCTCAGAGGAACGCACTCGCGTGCTGTTCAGCTGGAGGGCCAATGGCAGCTCCGAAGGGGAGCACTGGGACTCCGGCCGCCACAGGCTCCGCCTCAGCACCAGCCCGCCCAGTCTCCTCTTCGAGGCCGCGCAGCAGGACGACAGCGGCACCTACTCCTTGGAGGTCATCAGCGAGGCGGGCGCCATCAGGATCCACTGCTTCCTCGTGTCCGTGCTGGGTGAGTGCCCCCACTCGCAAGCGGGCGGGGCCTGAAGGCCTGCCTGACCGAACCTCTGCTTCCAGACCCCGTGCGGCAGCCCGAGCTGCGGCTGCTGGAGCAGAGGGCGGCCCCGGGCGGCAGGTGCCAGGTGACTCTGAACTGCTCGGCCTCCGGAGGCGGCGATGTGGCCTACACCTGGTCCAGAGGGGGCCAGGCCATCCCGCCGCCCAGGAGCCCCTTCCGCCTGGAGGAGCAGATCCGGGCGGGCGGCCTGCACACATACACCTGCAACGCCAGCAATGCGGTCAGCTGGGCCAGCCGGAGCCTCCAGCTAGGCCCGGGCTGCGGGAGCGCTGGCCACAGTGAGTGCCCTCGGGGCTGGGCGCGGAGGGTGTGGGCCGGGGCAGGCTCAGGAGCAGGAGCCAGGAGGTCTGGGAGCCCTTCGCCAGGGTCCTGGCCTCAGGCGCACAGGTCCGGCAGCCAAGCCGCCTGGAGCTGGGAGAATTCGTCCCCATCAAGAACCTCCTGGAAGTCTCTTCCTTCCCACAGGAAGCCCTCGTTGTCTGGGGAGGGACAGCCAGTCTGGCTGTGAGCTGTTTTCTTCTTTGGCTGCTGGACGCTTCCCCCTCAGGGGCCGCCTGCCCCTGCCCTGTGGTCCCAGAGCAGTGCCGGGGCTGGTGGCTCAGACGGGCACTGGGCAGAGGCACTGTGCTTCCCGGAGAGTCACCCGGGCCACTTTGCACCGCTTTTTCTTGGGTAAATCAGACCTAATGTGATGTCAGCATGGATTCACAGGGTGTGAGGGTAAGACCCGCCTGCACCCTGTCTTTAAGGAACTTACAGCCAAACAGGGGCACAGAGTAAGCTCTCCCGGCACACCGACACGAAAGCTGACGCGCGGGCACACTGGGCAGCTCCTGCAAATGCCTGGCAGGCTGCTGTTCAGGCACAGCGAGGCCCTGTCTGTGAGGGCCTCGTGGGCAGCATCTGGGCTGCCCTCCTTCCCTGCATGGCCGCTCGGCACTGCCCTTGGCTGCGGGACAGGCCCTGGCACGGACGTCCCGCGGGGAGAGCAGAGGTCGCAGAAGGCGGTGGAGGCAGCCTGGCAGGAGCGGACATGCTTATCGCGGTAAAATGAAGGAAAGGGTCTGGGTGACAGTGACTGAGCTGGGATCTGTCCGCTGTTACTGCTTGCTGTGTAGGTACATTGTCTCCTCCTGTGAGAAAACAGGCCCAGAGAGGCTGAGGAGCTTGCCCAAGGGCACAGAGCTTAGCGTCAGCACCTGATTCCGAGTCCCCTGCTCCAGTGTCACTGGGTGGCCTTCCAGTGGAGCAGGGAGACACCTCTGACCTGAGTTCACAGGAGTGAGAGCAGCACCCCAGCGAGGGGGGGGGGGGGGAGTGGTCACTGCAGCAGGCAGGGAGGCAGGGAGGCAAGGAGGCAGGGAGGCAGGGAGGCAGGGAGGCAGGGAGAAGGCGAGTCCTCACGCCCATGTCTCCGTCTCCCTCAGAGCTCGGCCTCCTGCCCCTTTTGATGATCATCCTGGTTCCCATACTCACGCTGCTCAGCACCCTCACCTGCGTCTGCATGTGGAGAAGGGGGAGGAAGCTGGCAGGTAAGGGGAGGGGCCCTAGGACAGGCTGCCTGACCGCCTCTCCACACCAGAGGGACATGCCCGCGTCAGGGAGGGAACGCAATGGCTGCTCCGGGTCTCGCTGGGGGGAGGGGGTGCGGGGTGCGGGGGAAGATGTACATGGCCTGATCCCTAGCAGCAGCTTTACTGGCTGTGGCTGGTTTGGGGGAAACTATCAGGCAGGTGCTGCCTTGAGCTCTTTGAGTAACCCTCCTCCCTTCTAGAACCTTCCTCAGAGTCTCGCCACCTTGAACGAGGGTGGATGCTGGGAGCTAGCGCCTGCCCGTCCCCCCCGGAGGTCTCTGCAGCTCTGCTCTGCTTCCCTCCCCCAGAGCCCGGCCCAGAGGAGGCGCTGACCGTTTATGAAAATGTCCGCAGCCCACCCATCGGGAGCGGCCAGGTGCGGCCCGAGGTGAGTCCTTCCGGATGTGTCCTAGGAGCATGGCCCTGCCCATCAGGGGCCCGAGAGCCCGCTGCTGCCTCCGAGTGGCCTCAGCCCATCTCAGTCCCTCTCAGGTCCTAGCTCTGGCAGCGGGTGGACAGAGAGAACTGGGGGGAGATGATGAGATGAGGCTCGGTACATGAAATTCGTGCATGGGGGTGTGGGTGGGGGTGTCCCTCAGCCCAGCCTGCACCCTCTCCAATCTGGGACCCCTTGAGGGATGTCTGACTACCCATTTAGAGTTGATCCCAGTGGACACATCTTCCCAAAGAAGAGGGAAATGGGAATGTGAAGAACAGTGTTAGCATTTAGCTCCACAGAATCACAAACACATAAAATATGGGATTGGGCCTAAACAGGCAGTCGGACATCCCTCTCACAATCCAGGACTGCTAGCTCCCAATTGCTCGCCTGCCTGCTTTCCTGATTGCCCCTAACCACTTCTGCCTGCCAGCCGGATCACCCCCTAACCACTCCCATGCCAGCCTGATTGACGTCTAACTGCTCCCCTGCCAGCCTGTTTGCCCCCAACTTCCCTCCTCTGCTAGCCTGGTCACCCCTAACTGCTCTCCCCTGCAGGGTTGATTGCCTCCAACTGCTCTCACTTGCAGGCCTGGTCCCTCCCAACTGCCCTCCCCTGCTGGCTATCTTGTGGTGGCCATCTTATGTCCACATGGTGGCAGGATCTTTGACCACATGAGGGCAGCCATATTGTGTGTTGGAATGATGGTCAATCTGCATATTACTCTTTTATTAGATAGGATAGAGGCCTGGTGTATAGGTGGGGCCAGCTGGTTTGCCCTGAAGGGTGTCCTGATTCAGGGTGGGGGTTCCCTTGGAGCATGGGGCAGCCTGGGCAAGGGGCCTGTGGCAGTTTGCAGGCCAGCCATGCCCCCTGCGACCCAAGTGGAGGCCTTGGTATCTGGGGTTTATTTCTCTTCTACAATTGAAACTGTAGCCTGGAGCAGAGCCAAGCCTCCTACTCACTCAGTGGCTGCCACCATTTCTGTTTGGATTGGTTTACCTTCTATAATTGAAACTTTGTAGCCTTAATCAGAGGCTTGGGCAGGCCAGGTTTTATGGAAGGCTTGGCTTCTTCCATCACCTGGGAAACCCAAACCTCCCTCCTGCTTTCTCTGTGGCTGCCACCATCTTGATTGGGTTAATTTGCATACTTGCTCTGATTGTCTTGTGGGCGTGTCTGATGGGTATGGCTTGTGGGTGCAGCGGAGTGATGGTTAATTAGCATATTACTCTTTTATTATAATGCTAATATTAGAGAGGAAGGGAGAGGGAGAGAAACATCAATGATAGGAATCATCAATCTGAGGAAAAACCAAGATGGCAGCATAGGTAAACACCTGAACTTGGTGCCTCTCACAGCAACTTCACAACTACAACTAAAAGACAAAACAGACATCATCTAGAACCACAGGAAGGCTGGCTGAGTGGAAATTCTACAACTAGAAGGGAAGAGAAAAGCACACTGAGACTCAGGGGAGCTGTGGAAGTAAAGTGCAGAGGTACGGAGGTGCATGTGTGCGTGGAGGGGGCTGGCAACTGAGGATGCGGCTGGCTTTTTCAATCCGCAGGGAGACACAAGCTCCCAACTGCTCTGAACTCCGGTTCTGGGTAAGACTCTGGGGACCCAGACTCATATGGGGAGAAACTGGACTGTCTGGGAGCAGTGGAACTCAAGAGCAGCTTTCTCTCAGAGGTGCTTGCAGTGATTACCAAGAGACACTGAGACCCCAGGGCCTCTTAGGGAAGAGCTGATGGGAATCCATTGCTGTTTGCTCCACCCTGAGACTCTGCCCCATTCTAGCTGTGTGCAGAGGCTTTTGCATATGAATGACGTGGTCCTTTGAAATATAAACTTACCTAATAAACTGCAGCTAAGTCAGAAAGACCCAGAACATCCAAAAGAAGGCCTTAAGCCCCACAGCAGCTTGCATTGCTTCACAGCTGGGCCTCATCTGGGCACCTCCAAACCCAAACAAAGAAGAGGAATCTGCAGATCTCTATGTTGTTCCTGTTGGGTGGCCTCAGGCAGAGACTAAATTATCACCTCCTTGGAGATCCAAGAGCCAGTGTACCCAAGGGTCAGAGTAGGACCATCCAGATTACAACTCCTCAGATCCATAAGGGACACACTCAGGGGGCAGACTCAATGAGCACCAAAGACCCACTAAAGCAAGTCTTGCCCCATAAGGGTGTCTCCAGTACAGAAGTCCATCCATCACAGACACAGTTGATCCTCACAGCCAACTGGCCTGGAGGTCAATTCCTCCCAGTGATACCGACAACAATCAAGGCTTACCTACAACAAGACTGTGCCCACAGCCCACAAAGGGGTGCACCAAGAGTGTCCAACTCAAGTAACTGGGGAGGCTGAGCTACTGGGCCCCACAGGACACCTTGCACACAAAGCCACTCAAAGAAGCAGCCAAAATGCAGAGACAAAGAAACAGATCACAAATGAAAGAAATGGAGGAAAGCAAACTACTGGATATATCAATAGAATTCAAAACCATGGTTATAAGGTTTTTCAAAAATTTTCTAGAAAAGGCCAATAAATTTAGTGAGACCCTCGAGGATATGAAAAAAGACCAACTAAAAATTAAGCATAAACTAACTGAAATAAAAAATAATATTCATAGATCTAACAGTAGACTAGACTCTAGAGTAGGGGTGTCGAACTCAATCAGAGAAGGGGCCAAAATCTAAAATCCAGCCTAAATCGCGGGCCGAATGGTTTACTGAACAGTCATAAACTGTCATTGTGATGGAAACGCAGCGGAGTGCAGTGATGACAGCGCGGTGCAGGCCACATTGCAAGGCCTGGTGGGACGGATTTGGCCCGCGGGCCTTGTGTTTGACACTTGTGCTCTAGAGGATTGCAAGAATCAAGTCAAAGATTTGAAATACAAAGAAGCAAAAAACACCCAACTGGAAAAGCAAAAAGAAAAAAGAATCCAAGAGAAACCAAGATGGTGGCAAAAGTAAACAATGTAACTGCCACCTCACACAACAATTCAAAACTACAACTAAAAGACAAAAGGTCTATCACCCAGAACCACAGGAAAGCTGGCTGAATGGAAATCTTAAAACTTAAAACAGGAGGAAAAAGAAAGGAGCACAAATACTGAAAAGCTGAGGGACAGAGGTGCACAAATCAGGCTGATGGCAGGCAACTGGGCACGTGGCTTTTTTCCAACCCAAAGGGAAACAAGCTCCCAATCACTTTGAAATCCAATTTCTGGAGACACGAGGAGGCCCCAGACGCCTACAGGGAGAAGCTGGTCTGTCAGCCATCGGGTCCCAATGTGAGGGTGACTTTTTTGCAGAGGTGTGCGCAGCAATCATTGTTTACTGTGCTGGAGCGCAGGACATGGGGACTTGGAAACGCAGAAAGGTAGAGAAGGCTGATGGCAGCCATTGCTGTTTGCCATGCCCCAGCCTAGTGATGCCCTGAGACCCCGCCCTACACAATCTACAAACCCTCCCAGGCTCCACACAGTAGCTTTTGCATATAAATGGCCTGCCCTGTGGCAGCTTAACGAAATAAACTGCAACTCTAGTCAGACTGCTCCAAAACCGCCAAATCCCAAGCAAAGAGGAGAAAACTGTAGTTCTTGCTGTAACTCCTACTTGGTGGCCTCAGACAGTAGCTGACCTTCACCCCATTGGAGATCCAGAAACTAGTGTATCTAGTGGTCAGTGTGAAACAACACCAGATTTCAACTACTCTTATAAGGGACACATTCAAGAGGCAGACTCAGTAAGCACCAAAGCCCTACGCCTACGCCGCAGGGGTCTTCAAACTACGGCCCGCGGGCCACATGCGGCCCGCAGAGGAGTCTGACCCGGCCCGCCAGGTTTTTTGGGCAGTGAGCGCAGCCGAGGTGTTACAGTAGGAATTAGTAGTTCATATAGTCCGGCCCTCCAGCTCTCTGAGGGACCGTGATCTGGCCCCCACTTTAAAAAGTTTGAGGACCCCTGCCCTACGGGAACAAGTCCTCCCCCAGAAAAGTCTCCAGCACAGATATTCTTCCATTATAGACACAGCGGATGCTCACAGCCAATTGGACTGAAGGTAAATTCCTCCCAGTGACACCAACATCACTCAAGACTTTACTACAACAAGGCTATATACACAGTCCACAAAGGGGTGCACTAAGAGTGTCCATCTCAGATAACTGGGAGGCTGACTCACTGAACCATATAGGATACCCAGCACACAAAGCTACCCTACCAACTCAGGGATACAGCAAAAATGAGGAGACAAGGAAACAGATCACAAATGAAAGAAATGGAGGAAAACAAATGACTGGACATAGAGTTCAAAACCACGGTTATAAGGTTTTTGAAGAATTTCCTAGAAAAAGCTGATAAATTTAATGAGATATGATTAGGGACCAACTAGAAATTAAACATACACTGACTAAAATAAAAAATATTATACAGAGACCCAACAGCAGATTAGAGGAATGCAAGAATTAAGTCAAAGATTTGGAATACAAAGAGGCAAAGGACACTCCTCTGGAGACAGCAAGAAGAGAAGAGAATCCAGAAAGTTGAAGATAGTGTAAGAAGCCTCTGGGACAACTTCAAGTGTACCAATATCAGAATTATGGGGGTGCCAGAAGAAGAGAGAGAGCAAGACACTGAAAACCTATTTAAACAAATAATGACTGAAAACTTCCCCAACCCAATGAAAGAAATAGACTTACAAGTCCACAAGCACACAGAACCCCAAACAAAAGGAATCCAAAGAGGACCACACCAAGACACATCATAATTAAAATGCCAAGAGCAAAAGACAAAGAGAGAATCTTCCAAGCAGCAAGAGAAAAACAGTTAGTTACCTAATAAGTAAAGAAGCATCCATATGATTATCAGCTGATTTCTCAACAGAAACTATGCAGGCCAGACAGGAGTGGCAAGAAATATTCAAAGTGATAAATATCAAGAACCTACAACCAAGATTTCTCTACCCAGCAAAGCTATCATTCAGAATTGAAGGGCAGATAAAAAGCTTCACAGAGAAGAAAAAGCTAAAGGAGTTCATCACCACCAAACCAGTATTATATGAAATGCTGAAAGGTGTTCTTTAAAAAGAAGAAAAAGAAGAAAAAAGTAAAGATAAAAATTATGAACAACAAATACATAACTATTAACATGTAAATCTAAAAGTCAAGTGAATTAAAAATCTGATGAACAGAATAAACTGGTGAATATAATAGAATCAGGGGCATAGAATGGGAGGAGATTGATAATTCTCAAGGGGAAAGGGGTGTCTGTGTGGGAGATACAGGAAGAGACTGGACAAAAATCATACACCTATGGGTGAGGACAGCGAGGGGGAGGCAAAGGCAGAAGGTGGGGTGGAGACTGGGTGCAGGGGAGCTATGAGGGGGGAAAAAGGGAGAAACAATTGTAATAATCTGAACAATAAAGATTTATTAAATTTAAAAAAAGGAATCCAAAAAAATATGAAGATAGTGTAAGGAGCCTCTAGGACAACTTCAAGCGTGCCAACATCAGAATTATGGGGGTGCCAGAAGAAGAGAGAGAGCAAGACACTGAAAACCTATTTGAAGAAATAATGGCTGAAAACTTCCCCCACCTGGTGAAAGAAATAGACTTACAAGTCCAGGAAGCGCACAGAACTCCAAACAAAAGGAATCCAAAGAGGATCACACCAAGACACATCATAATTAAAATGCCAAGGGCAAAAGACAAAGATAGAATATTAAAAGCAGCAAGAGAAAAACAGTTAGTTACCTACAAGGGAGCACCCATAAGATTATCAGCTGATTTCTCAACAGAAGCTATGCAGGCCAAAGGAAGTGGCAAGAAATATTCAAAGTGATGAATAGCAAGAACCTACAACCAAGGTTACTCTACCCAGCAAAGTTATCATTCAGAATTGAAGGGCAGATAAAGAGCTTCATAGATAAGAAAAAGCTAAAGGAGTTCATCATCACCAAACCAGTATTACGCGAAATGCTGAAAGGTATTCATTAAGAAGAGGGAGAAGAAGAAAAAGGTAAAGATAAAAATTATAAACAACAAATACATATCTATCAGCAAGTGAATCTAAAAATCAAGTGAATAAAAAATCTGATGAGCAGAATAAACTGGTGAATATAATAGAATCAGAGGCATAGAAAGGGAGTGGACTGACAATTCTAGGGGGAAAGGAATGTGGGGGGTGCGGGGAGAGACTGGACCAAAATTGTACACCTGTGGATGAGGACAGTGGCAGGGGGAAAGGGGGTAAGAGCAGAGGGTAGGGTGGGGTGGGAACCAGGTGGAGGGGAGCTATTGGGGGTGGAGGGGAAGAGGAACAATTGTAATAATCTGAACAATAAAGATTTTTTTTTTTTAAGAAAAGAATA